GTGGGAAACCAGCCAGGGAAGAGAAGTGACCCAAGCCAGCTGGGACGACCTGCCTAGCCCCGGGTGGAGAGAGGGAGCGCACAGAGTGGAGTTTCAGCAGAAACAGCATTGGTCGGGCGGTGAAAAGAGCCCGAGGCAGAGAGGCGGAGGCGCCTGGCTTCCAGCCTCGTCTGTCCCACAAACAGGCTGTGCGACCTAGGCAGATGGTGCCTCCTTTCTGGGCCTCAATTTCCTCATCAGTAAAATGAGTCTTCTGCAGCCGGATGCATTTTCTAGCGTGATGGAGTTGGGAGGTGGGGACTGCAGAGCCTGGAAGAGAGGAGCTGGGGAGCAAAGGGGGAGGGGAAGCCTCCCCCACCCATTGCCGGGCTTTTCAACTCTGCTGCCCTCTAGTGGTGGCACCGAGAAACAATATAGCCTTACAGCGAACTTGGGCTGTTATCTTCCCGCCTCTCCTGATTCTGTGGACCTCTCTCAAGGACGGGAAGGAGGAACAATCTTAGGGCCCTTACCTCCTGAAAGCTCCTTCCAGGATGCACACATTCCAGGTGGCCAGAAAGGAAGTCACAGCCTATGCGTAGGTACTCACAACGATGCACAGGGTAGTGTTTTTCACTGGTTTCTTCATTCTGCCAGGGCTGATGGAGGGTCTGTGTTATGCAGGGGCACTGTGCCGGGCCCTGGGGATCCAGAGGCACTTTCACATCATTCCTGCCCTCAGAGAACCTCTGTCCAATGGGAGAACAGCCAAGCAAACCATAGACTCTGGAGAGGTGGGAGGCGGTGGGGGTTTCTCACAGGCATGAAATCTTGTGTGAATTATGTGACCAGCACCTGTGGGTCCCTTTCTGCTGTTGGTTTGTCCAGGGCATGTAGACCTCTAGCAGGATGGGCCAGGAAGCCTTTGACTCTTCCTGAAGTCATTCTAGAAGACCTGGGTCACCCTCCCTAGGGATGGCTGGACTTCTGCCTATACCTGCTGTTCTCCTGCCTTGTCCCTGTCACCTCCTTTACCCTGCTCCTCTCTGGTCTAGGGGCCTGAGCTCCAAAGAGGGTGGAGAGCATCAGGTCTCCCTCCTGGGCCAGTTCTGTGCAGGCCTGCTGGCTCTAACATCACAGTGTGGTGCAGGAGAAGGGGAGTGTGAAACTCCCAGAAGCTTCTGAAGCCTGCTGAGGCTGGGATAGAACTCAGCAGCCTGTGAGGGGTGGGCAAAGGAGAGTGCATGTGAGGGGCTGAGGGCGAGGAGCCTGGTGTGTCACTGAGGCTAGGAAAGCCAACGAGTCTGACTCAGTGGGGACATCCGGCAGGAAGGGAAAAGAGCACAGTGGCATTTGTAAGCAGGATGGGAACTCTGGGGCAGCTTTAGGAGATGGGGTGTGGGGTCAGGGTGCTGTGGGAAGGCCTGGACAGGAAAGGGCTGAGCATGGTGGGGAGTGGAGAGAGGGGAGGGAAGGGCAGTCCCAGAGGGGTGGAGGCTAGACCTCTGGCTGCCCAGCTGGTCTGGAAGGAGAGGGAAGGAAGCTGTGTTTTCTGCTCTGGAGGCAGAGGAGACAAGTTCTGGCATGGGGTTAGGAAACCTGGGTCCAGGTCAATCAGTGGTGTGGTGAATGGAGGGGCTTCTGATATTCACCTCAGGGCCTGGAGGCAAGGCCTTATAACTAACTACCAAGACAGACTCATGCATTCCTAATATAGAGAGATCAACCCTCTTCTCAGCACCCTTATACTCTGCGTTACCCATCCGCGACACCTGACAACAACACCCTTAAGACTCAGGTCCCAGAGACTCCAGGGTGGGATTGGCCCCCTTTGTATGAGGAAGATTAGGGGAGAAGCTTTTCTGAAAAGGGCTCCTTCCTCTCTCAGAGTCAGAGAAGCTGAAAAGGCCAGCCCTACAGAGCAAGGCCAGGAAGCACCAGAGTTAGAAGCCCAAGGCAGGAAGAATGTTGACCAGTTCCGAGCTGGAATGACAAGGGCCCTGGAAGAAGGCCTGGTTCACTGTACTGAGAGCTAGAGACCCAAACAGCTGATCCTCCTGGGAGTGGCTATACTTTAAAGATCATGGGTTGGCTTATTGACAGGGGTACATTCTGAGAAATGAGTCTTTAGGTGATTTTGTCATTGAACATCACAGAGGGCACTGCCACAAACCCAGATGGTGTAGCCTGCTGCACACCTAGGCTGTGTGGCCCAGCCTATTGCTCCTGGGCTACAAACCTGCACAGCAGTGACTTTGCTGAATACTGTAGGCAACTGTGACACAATGGTAAGCATTTGTGTATCTAAACATGCCCAAACATAGAAAAGGGATGGTAAAAATATGGTATAAAAAAAATTTTTTTTTTTTTGAGACAGAGCCTCAAGCTATCCCTCTGGGTAGAGTGCCATGGCATCACGCTCACAGCAACCTCCAACTCCTGGGCTCAAGCGAGTCTCCTGCCTCAGCCTCCCAAGTAGCTGGGACTACAGGCGCCCGCCACAGCGCCTGGCCATTTTTTTTTTTGGTTGCAGCCATCATTGTTGTTTGGCGGGCCTGGGCTGGGGATTCGAACCCACCACCTTAGGTGTATGTGGCTGGCGCCTTAGCCGCTTGAGCCACAGGCGCCGAGCTGGTATAAAAATTTTTAAAGTGGTGCACCTTTAAGGGCACTTATAGGACTGGGAGTTGCTCTGAGTGAGTCAGTGAGTGGTGAGTGAATGTGAAGGTCGAGGACATCGCTGGACGGCGCTGTAGGCTTTATAAACACTACACACTTCAGCTACACTACGTTTATAAAAACATTTTTCTTTCTTCAGTAATAAATTAGCCTTAGTTTACTGTAACTTTTTTACTTTATAAACTTTTTAGGCTGAACCTAGTGTCTCACACCTATAATCTCATCACTTTAGGAGGCTTTCTCCTCCCTGGAAGAGAAAGGATTGCTTAAGCCCAGGAATTCAAAGTTACAGGGAGCTATGACTGGGCCACTGAACGCCAGCCTGAGCAACAGAATGAGACCCTGTCTCTAAAAAAGTAAAAGATTTAAAAGTTTTAAAAATTTTAAAACTTTTTGACTATTTCTTAATAACCCCTAACTTAAAACGCAAACACATGGTACAGCTGTATGAAAATATCTTTTTTCCTTATATCCTCATTCTGTACACTTTTTGCTATTTAAAATTTTTCTTGGCTTGGCGCCTGTAGCTCGGGGGCTAGGGTGCCAGCACATACACTGGGGCTGGCCGTACACTTCGAACCTGGCCTGGGCCTGCCAAACAACAATGACAACTACAACAACAACAAAAAAATAGTGGGGCATTGTGCTGGGCGCCTGTAGTCCCAGAGAATCGCCTAAGTCCAAGAGCTGGAGGTTGCCATGAGCTGTGACACCATACCACTCAACCGAGGGTGACACAATGAGACTCTGACTCAAAAAAAAAAAAATTCTCTTTTTTTAAACTTTTTTGTCAAAAACTAAGACAGAAACACACAGATTAGCCTAGGCCTATTTGGGGTCAGGATCAAGCACTATCACTGCCTTCTGCCTCCACATCTTGTCCCACTAGGACGGTGGTTCTCAACCTTCCTAATGCCTCCTAATGCCGTGACCCTTTAATGCAGTTCCTCATGTTGTGGTGATCCCCAACCATAAAATTATTTTTGTTGCTACTTCATAACTATAATTTTGCTACTGTTATGATTCGTAATGTAAATATCTGATATGCAGGATGTATTTGCATTGTTACAAAGTGGTCACAATCCACAGGTTGAGAACTGCTGCCCTAGGATGTCTTCAGGGGCAATAACATGCATGGAGCTGACATTTCCTATGGTAACAGTGCCTTCTTCTGGAAGACCTCCTGAAACACCTTCCTGAAGCTGTTTTAGAGCTTTTCTCTTTTAAATTAGTAGAAGAAATAATGATTAAAAATATAGTATAGTAAACACATAAGCTAGTAACATAGTTATTCATAGCTGTTATTAAGTACTGTGTACCTAATTGGGTATGTTATACCGGCAGTGTCTGACTGGCAGTACAGTGAGTGGGTTTGTTTACACCAGCATCACCACAAACATGAACAATGTGCTGCACTACAACTTTATTTATTTATTTAGAGTCAGAATCTCACTATGTCGCCCTTGGTAGAGTGCTGTGGCATCACAGCTCACAGCAACCTCTAACTCTTGGGTGTGAGTGATTCTCTTGCCTCAGCCTCCCAAGTAACTGGGACTACAGGCACCTGCCATACACCTGGCTATGTGTTTTTGTTGCAGTTGTCATTGTTGCTTAGCAGGCCAGGGCCGGGTTCGAACCCTCCAGCCTCGGTGCATGTGGCTGGTGCTGTAACCACTGTGCTACAGGCGCCGAGCCTGCACTACAACTTTATAAAGGCTACCACATCATTTGGTGGTAGGAATTTTTCAGCTCCATTTTAATCTTATGGGACCATTGTTGTATGTACCATCCATCATAGACTAAAATGTCATTATTTGGCTCATGACTGTACAGAGAAGACAATGTCCAACCTAAAGGAATGGATGACTAATGGTGTTATTTGGAATGTGTATTTGGTGGCCATGGTGAAGTGAGCTTCTTGATTTCTTTGAAGACTTAAACCAATGGTGATGAGGATAGCAAGCAGGAGAGGGAAGGCACATTGGAGTTGGAGGCCCGCAGACCAAGCAGCCTCATGGGCTGGGCTGTATCTTGTAGGTCTTTTTCTACTAGTGGGAGGAATGGCAATCTTCATACAGGCGCAGCCTGGGGTCCTGCTGGGCCAGAGGACCTTGAGTGAAGAAGGCAGGCCTGGGCAGCCGGGCTTCCTGCGTGGGCTCAAGTCGCTAGGGAGAAGTCTTTGCCAGTCTGTCTGGGAACCCTGGGGCAGGGCAGGGAGAGGTGCTGGGCAGGACCAGCTGGCTGCCAGGGCCCTGGTCCTCGCCCTCTGAGAGTGGAAGGGTGGGGGTGGCGGACGCAGCGTTCCTGGCTGGGAGCCCAGAGGAGTCTTTTGTAATCACAACATGATCTCGTGTGCTGAGCGGCGAAGCCGGCAGGGAGAGGCCGGCAGAGGCCTGGCTCCGGTGGCTCCAGCTTCCCTCCTGCTCTGGCTCCCCTGGGGCTGCTCTGGAATTCTCTCGTGCCAGCAGTTGCCATGCACTCAGCTGTGAGTGGCACTTCGCCTTTACAGGGGGGCTTTTTGGGACTGGGAGGGGGCTGGGATACCAGGCAGCCATACTCTGGGGGCAACTGGGGACAGCTAGCTGGGCCTGGGAGGAGGAGAGCTGTGACAAGGTGGGTAGAAGGCTGGGCAGGGACACTGGCTACATGGGAGACCCTGAAACCAGACGGAGAGGACCCTAGGATCTTGAGCAGAAACTCGGCCTGCCCAGGGTGGTTCTCTGGCTGGGGCTGCCAACAAAGCTGGCTCTCTCCTGCCCCAGTCTCCTGCCAGAAGCTCAGGGCCTGGAGAGGCTGAGCCTGAGGGAGCAGCTCTTTCCTATAGGCTGGGCACAGGTGTGGAGAGTGGGGTCCAGGGCCTGAGAGCCCAGGACTTAGCCAGGACCTCCCTTTTTTCTGTGGTTCTGGATCTGGAAGCCAAACAGCTCCCCCCCTCGACCTCCTGAATCCCCTGGCAGCTTCCCAGTCACAGCAGGTTCCACTGCCAGAGCCATTTATAACTCCCATTCCAGGATCCGCTCCTCCGGCAGTGAAGCTCCCTGGAGAGCTGGGGGGAGGGGCAGCCAAATGCTGGGAGCTGTGGCTCCGGGTTTTAGGCCCTGACCTGAGCATGGGCAGACAGGCCTCGTTGGAATGGGGGATTGGGGCCTTCTGTGGTGGGCCATCTCCCTGAGTGACCCCCTTCCTTCCTGTATGACTGAGCTTGGGTCTGGGGCCTGTTCCTTGTGTGGTAAGAATAAGGTAGGGTGGGCAAATGTGAAAGTTGGGGAACTGGGAAGGAGTGGACCTATTGGACAGGAGCTTGGGTTCCCTGCCTTCTGCAGGGGCCTCACAGAACGGAGTCCCCAATGAGCAGGCAGGAGGAGAAGGATGCAGAGCTGGATCGGAGGATAGTTGCCCTGCGTAAGAAGAACCAGGCCTTGCTACGCAGGTACCAGGTGAGTGGGCTGGAACAGGGGCCTGGAGGACCAACCTGGCAGCCACTCCCTGGCTGACCTGCGCATGCTTGCACAATGGTGTCCCTCTGCACACTCAGTACTGTCTCTGGGCCTGGGGCCAGAGTTAGGGTGGGCACAGCCCCTCTCAAGGGCTTGGTCATGGTCCCAGGGACTTGTGATATGGTGCCTCTGCCCCCTGGTGTCCCACTGGTGTCTCTCCATGTAGGCCTGTCAGCGTCTGTGTCTCTGTGCACCTGGGGGGCCGTGTGCTGACCCTGGGCCCTCCCACAGGAGATCCAGGAAGATCGTCGGCAGGCAGAGCAGGGGGGCATGGCTGTGACCACACCAGGGCTCCTCCGACCTGATGGCCTCACTGTCACTATCAGCCAGGTTCCTGGTGTAAGCCTTACTCTGGGAGATAGGGAGGGTGACAGGGATTTTGGGACCCAGCCTGTGTCAGGGAAGGACACTTGTCTCTGCTCCTCTTCTCCCACTTTCCATTCTGGGGTGCATGCCCAGCTCCCAACCTTCCATAGCCAGGCCACTGCTGTCTGCCACCAAAGGGCCACATCTGAAAGGCTACCCAGTGGAAGCCTCCTCATACCCTTTTCTAGTCCTACCGCCCTGCATTTATGCCCCAAACCAGACAGCTCCTAAAACCCCTGCAGGATGTAGAGGACAGAGAAGTTGGGAGTGAGTGCCAGGAACAGTGCCTCAGAGACAGAGCCCCATTGTCTGAGTGCTCTGGATTTCCCAGCTCAGAGATGACGGGCCACTGTGGCATCTTGGGCCCTAGTGTGCCCCCAGGCCCTGATAACAAAATGCCATTGGCATGTGAACTCTTTGTGGGAGTCAGCTCCTCTGTGGGCATTCCAGGGAGGGCTGGGGCTAGAACCTAGGTCTGGGGAACCACCCAGAGGACCCAGCACCCAAGTCCTGCTCAGTGCTGCTTGTGTGGCCTGAGGGTTTTCATTCTATAGGAGAAGCGGGTGGTCAGCAGGAACTGGGTAAGGAGTACCGTTGGACCCCAAGAGGCCAATGAGATGCTTGAGCATGAGGATGCAGAGGACTGCAAGGGCATGTTCTGCCTGGGGCAGCGGGTGGAGCTGGCTGTGACCATGGAAAACAAAGCTGAGGTGAGTAGGGTGAGTGGAGAAGTGCAGATGGGGACAGCCTCCCCTTCGCTGGCACTGCCATGCCACCCATCTTCATCTTCCCCAGGCCAAACGAATTGTAAGTGAAAAGCCCAGCAAAGCAAGGAACCAGGGTGCAGATGGGTCACGTGGACGGCATGAGAGTAGGAGCCTTCCCACGCCACCAGCCATCAGCTCGGATTCTGCATGGAAGGTACATCTTCAAGCGGGAGCAGTGACTTGAATGTGGATGTCCCCATTTAGGGGAGGCAGAGAAGCTGAGTCAGGTATGGCCCTCATCTTCAAGGACATGGTCGAGGCAGCACCTACAAGAATTCCCAGCCCTCCTTCCTTTCTCTGGCCAGTCCCCACTTTGGACAGGCCTTACAGTGAGAAAGTCTAAGCTAGAGATGTGTTCCAGTCCCCTATCCCAGATATCCCTGAAGGTGATGGTGGAGAAGGGGAGGCCAGAGGGTGTAGGGGACTGGCTGTGTGCCAGGTGTGACCTCTAGGTGGCAGCAGTCCCTAGTCCTTGCTCTTGCTCACAGCCTCTGGGTGCCCCTCCCACTCTGGGCCCTTCTACACCCCTGCAGCAACCCTGGGGTTGGGTGCCATTGCTATCCCCATTTTAAGGATGAGAAAATGATAGATACACAGAGAGTTACTTGCCCCAAACACATACAGCTAATCAGGGAATGGAAACCATACCCAGTATGTTAGAGGTGGAAGGGACTAAATGGGGATATGGAAACCCTGAGACAAGAAGGGCTTAGCTGAATCTCCGGATCTCTATTCCAAGCCTCTTTCTGCTTCTACCACATGGTGCTGAGTGTCTTCTCCTTGCAGGGTGCACGGGAGCCCTGGAGTCTAGGTGTGGTCCCAGGCCCAGTCCCCCAACAGCCAGTGGGGGAGCCCCCAGGGGTGGGCTGGGACTATGCCCAGTGGAAGCAGGAGCGGGAGCAGATCGACTTGGCCCGCCTCGCCCGGCACAGAGATGCACAGGGTGACTGGCGCCGCCCGTGGGACCTGGACAAGGCCAAACCCACGTGGGTGGCAGGGCTGGGTGGCTGGTTGGACTGACATGTTTGTGGTACTGGGGTAGCTAACTGTGGCTGCTACCTAGAGGGGCAGGGGGACCCTTCCCAGGATGGAGAGGACCTTGTCTGGGCCCTCTGGGCAGGCCCTGGGCTCAAGGCTCTATGTGGGCACTGGGTTCCCCATATTTCTTGGAACACCATCTCCTCTTACCCTCAATTGTGGGGTTGGGGTTGGGGGAGGTGGTGTCAGAAAGGGCTGCTACAGCCTCTGTCCTTCCTGGTACAACCAGCCTGCCTCCCTCCTCTGTCCACACAGGCTCCACAACGGCAGCAAGCCTGGGGAAGTGGGCCCAGCCAGGGTGGGCAGCAGAAAGGGTGAGCCAACACCGACCTCATCCCTCCCTCTTTGGAGTTTTTCGCCTCTTTATGCTCTTTGTCCTCTCATTTCTCTATCTCTGCATTTCCTGCTTGTTTTCAGAGCTGAAAGATAGCATCCCTCACCATTAGAGGAGGGCACTAAGAACTCCTTTCCTGCTTTCTGAGCTCACAGCTCTTGCTTGGGTTCTGACCTGGGAGGAGGCTCAGTGGTGGCCTGCCCTGGGTTCCTTTTGAGATGCTGGTCTCCAGTGGTGAAGTACTAGTGGCCCTGGCCTGCTGAATGAACAGCTCTGTGGATTTCTGGTCCCCTCACTTTATATACAGGAAGCTAGGGCTCTCAGAGGTGGGCAAATCACCTGCACAGTGTGGCAAAGCAACCACAAGATCTCCAGCCCAGGGCTCTTTGTGGGGAGGGTTCAGGAAGCCCATGATTGGGCTGAGGACTGACAGCTTCCTGTACTGGAAGAACCTGTGTTCTTGCTTTGGATCCTTTGCCACCCCACCCTTTCCCCATTTCCTTTGCCCCACTTAGGTCCTAGGAGCCAGAGGAAGCTACAGCCCTCACCATTGCCCACTGATGGAAAAGGTGAGTTGGTGGGGGAGGAGCAGGGACCCATTAGCAGGTGGGGGGGAACTGGCTGCTATGTCCCTCATCTCTCCTGGATTGTGGACCATCTCTTGCAGGCCGAGGTGGGCAATCTGGGAGACCCTCGGTGCCATCTACCACAGGCAGCAAAGCCCGAGGGAAGGAGAGGCTGACTGGCAGGGCCCGAAGGTAACAGGTGGCAAGGGACAAAATCAAGGCAGACATTTGTGTGTCCCAATTTTCTGGTCTGGCACCAGTTTAGGTGCCTGTTCTGTCCCTGGGGGCCCTGCCTCCTGGCTGACTGCTGCCTGGCGGCAGGTTAATGAGATGCTGGGAGAGGCCATCTGCAGAGGCAGCAGCAAGAGCCTGGTGCCTAGGGAGGCCAGTGGTAATTACAGGAGCTCCCTTCCCCCAGGAAGTGAGGTGCGCCTTTCCCAGGCAGCGCAGGCAGGGACATGCCTGGAGTCCCCACAGAATTCAAGGCGCTGCAGACTTGGCCATAAACAGCAGCTGGGGACCCAGGATGGGACCAGGGTAGGTGGCATTTAGAAGAAATGACTGGATTGGGGGGAAAGGTCAGTCTGGGAGGGGAGTGTTCTGGAGCCTCATTCTATCTCTGATCTTGGCTCCGCGCCTGTGGCTCAAGCGGCTAAGGCGCCGGCCATATACACCTAAAGTGGCGGGTTCCAATCCCCAGCCCCGGCCCGCCAAACAACAATGATGGCTGCAACTAAAAAATGGCCGGGCATTGTGGCGGGCGCCTGTGGTCCCAGCTACTTGGGAGGCTGAGGCAGGAGACTCGCTTGAGCCCAGGAGTTGGAGGTTGCTG